AACCGATTTACCAACAACTGTGACCAGGAGCAACTGGACCCTGGGCAAACTGGTGAGGTTTTAATCTGTTGAACCGGGGTGGGAGTTGGTTAGTCAACTTGTTGTTTACCGGGGGGTGGTCAGTTTGCTTTGGTAAGACGTGTTTGTAGTGTACGTGTGTTACATCGTCGACTAATACAGCACTGGAGGAGGCTATTCAGCCCATCGAAACTAGACTTCTCCAGTTATTCCCACTTTGTCCCATCCTGCAAATATTGCCTTTTCGAGTATTTGTCTATTCAATTCCCTTCTGAAAGTCGCTGGAGTTTGCTTCCACCACCCTTTTAGATAGTGCATTCTATTGAAACCAGCGCAAAATTTCTCCTCCTCTCTTCCTCGGGTCCTTTGCCCAAGTCTCTTCAATCCGTGTCCCTCTGGTGACCTACTCTCCTGCTCCAGGGAACACTTTCTCCCTCGTTGGCTCAATCCAACAGCCCCTTCGATTCCATCTCACTCTGCATCTTCTCTGTTGGGTGGAGAATTTCTATGTAACAACTTCTAGGATTTTAAAAAAAGTCTCCACTGTGTTAACTTCTAGTTACTTCTTTTGGGAGTTGTGAAATGCTTAGTTGTACATTCAGGCAACCAGAATTATTTATGTCATGCAGACTGGCTGTAAAGGCCATTCACATCTTTGAGCTTGTCCCACTAGGGTGCAAATTACACATTTAAATGGTTCCTTGCCTCACTTTTCTTCATGGAGGGTTTGTTTTGTTGGCCATTATAAATGGGATTTCAGGAGTTCTCAGAGCTGACAGCCTATAGAGATAGAACTTTGTAGAATTTTAAAAACAATGGAACATATTGCTGCAAGTATCAGGGAGCAGGAGGGACTTGAACATCAGTCTTCCGGTACAACAGTTAGGGACAACACCACTGCCCTATAAGCACCCCTTTAAACTGGCATTTGTAACGTCTGTCTCCTGTTTCATGATGAGGCATTCTGTTCCCAACTGCTGTCACTGCAAATACGCAAAACCCTCCTGTCCAGTCCTCCAGGGTCACCTGTTTGCATATTTCAGAATTATTGTCAACCAATTTTACCCGCTCTGTACCGATCTCTGTCACCCCCTCCAGCCCCCTACACCCCCTCCCTGTCTCTGTCACCTCCTCCAGCCCCCTACACCCCCTCCCTGTCTCTGTCACCTCCTCCAGCCCCCTACACCCCCTCCCTGTCTCTGTCA